TTAAAGCTTGCTTGGATTATCATTTCATTTGAATCACTCATTGTCATTTTTATCCCATAAAGTTCATTCATATGTGAAGTTACAAATTCTGTTAATGAATATAAACCTTGGGTTCTAATAAACCTTCCTCTGAAAAAAATATCAGGGCCAAAGACTAACATAAGTAGTAATTTTATAGAAAAAAAAAGTTGTTTACCCACATGGGGCTACAGAAGGGAGGGAAAGGAAGTAAAAGAGAAACAGAGAGAGAGAGAGAGAGAGAGAGAGAGAGAGCAAACTATTTTCCATGAAATTAACAAACAGAAATAAGGAAGATGGGCTTAATATCAATGTGTAACTACCTACACAGTTTTTCTTTGCTTATAACAATATTAATATTGTACCTCCTCTTGAATGAAAATGACTAAGCACATAAATTTGTTTCTGCATTCCTCAACTTTATTTTATTATCAAAGTAGCTCTCCCACTCTTCATGACCTGAATAATCTTCTATCTCACTGAACATGTGTACAGATTCTTAACTGCTGAGAAGGTAAAGCTGTGCTCTCCCTATAGGTTCACACTCACTTACAAAATGGCAGCCTCCTCCCTGGTTTCAGGTAAAGTAGAGTGAAGGGCCTGTGTGCATCACCTTGAAAGGTGGTAGAATTTCCTACGAGTTCCTTTTCTATTCCATTTTCTTGTGGGACCCATTATCTCAGCACCAGCATTCCAGCACCTTCAACATGTACTGTCTGCAGCCCAAAGTAAGGAAACCAACAACAACTGAGCTCTGAGAAATAACAGCAATCCAAGTCAGAGTAAACAGATGAAGGGTGTGTGACTGCCCATCAAGATTCCATCTCCACTGCTCTTTTACCTCAGCTTCTTTTGTCTGTACTTTCTCATGTGGTTGGTCCCAGGAGAGGACTGCATTACCATTACCTTTTCTAGTTTTCCAGGCAAGGACTCTTGAAAGTTTCTTTGACTCCCAGCAGGAACTTTGCATACTGTATTCATTGTGTCTCCCTTTGTCTCTTCTTTTTTAAGTCCTTCTCCCCTTTTCACAACTGCAGACTCTCAGTCCAAGAAAATTATCTTCTTCTCATGAAGAAGCTTTTTTTTTAATCCACAGAATGAGCCCTCCCTGCCATGCTCCCATGAGGCCATGTCTATCTTTACCATGTGTTCTACCAACCTGAGCCTTGAGACGATCAAGTAAGTTTTTGCCGTGGCTCACCTTCATGCTGCAGAACGGTGGAAGAAAGCAGAGGGGGACTGTGTCTGCAACTGTGACAGCTTGTCATTACCATTTACAAGTCTTATTTCCAGAGAAATATGGCTTTTGTTTCTTACCACAAGGGCATGGGAAATAATACTGCATGTTTGATGTTGACTTCAAAGCCATTCTGCATACTTAGGCTTTAAGATTATCAAGGAAAAGGTCAATTTTAGCTTTCTCAAATCCTTGGAAGGATGTTTGGATAGATACTGGATGGGTGGATGGATGGATGGATGGATGGTAGATGGACTTTTTCAATATTACCTTTAGCAATTCAATCTTGGTCAAGCACCTACCATATTTAATGCTTCCCATTCTCTTATTGCTATATCTGCTGCTCTTCTGCATTCCCCTTCACATTTGTCTAGACCCTCCTCCCCATCCCTCATGTCTTACCTGAATTTTCACTAGCTCAAATAACCTCAGGTACTTACCAGTGACTTCTTTGCAATGGCTAAGATCACTTTTTTTCCTCCTTTTATTTTATCATTTTTACATTTACATACATGTGTATACCTTGTTTGTGCCACCTCCCCTACAATACCCTGCTTCCAGGCAGACCCTGTTCTGCCCTCTTCTCAGATTTTCTTGAAGAGAAAACATAAGAGATAATAAGAAAGACATACTGTTTTTGCTAGTTTGTGACAAAGATAGCTGTACAGAGAGATGCCTAGCGTTGCTTCCATGCACTTGTATGTTACAACCCACATTGGTTCATTTCTTCCAGACCTCTTTGCTACTTCTTGGTCCCCTTCCCATACTGGCCTCTGCCAAATTAAGATTACTTTAAAACAAGAAACAGCTCCCACTGGCTCCCAGTTACCTACAACATGAAATTCAAAGATAAAATTCGAATCCTACAAGATGAAATTCCTAGTCCTGCTTCCTCTGCTGTTTGTCTCCAGTCACAGTTTCCACCTCCACTTCACTTCTCCCCATGCCCTCCATGCTCCTGTGCTGCAAACACGGCAGACCTCTTGCCAGAAAAGACAGACCTAATTTCAAAACAGCATTTGCTAACTATATAAAAATTGTTCCCGAGTCACTCACTGTTTCTGATCCTCACTTGCTTCCTCAGTAAAAGTGAGGTTGGTCGGGCATAGTGGTACATGCCAATAGTCCTAGCACTCAGGAGGCTGAAGCAGAAGCATTGTGAGTTCAAGGCCAGCTTGGACTACATAGCAAGACCCTGTCTCAAAATAAATAAATAAAATAAAAGGGAAGCTGGTTGTAAAGAAATAAAGATAGTAAGAGATAATGTCTGAAATTACCTAGTAGAGCTAGTTTCTGCCTTTGCCTTCATAATATTGTCCCTCTATCTGAGGTAGATATTTCTCTGCTCCTTGTGACAAACTTCTATCCACATTTCAAGACCCAGGTGATCACATCCATGGTTGTTTTTATGCCTCCCCCAGACTGAATTAGATTCTTTCTTCTTTGAGCTCCAATAATTCAGTACATTTATTAAATCATAATATGATATACTTATACAATCCTTAAAAATAAAGACAGTGTCTTTTGTTTTAAACTATGACCTGAAACATTGCTAACTCTATATACAGTAGTTGCTCAAAAACTATTTGTTGACTGACATAACAACAGCACTGTGCTGGGCTCTACTATCACCCAGTTCTGAAAGAACTCACAAACTCAAGCATCTGAGCCTGACAGATCCACACAAGTAATCATAGTATGAACCTCACTGAAGTAAGGCATCAATGGGAGGCAGAATCAAAGTGTGATGGCAGCCAACCCTTCTGCCAGAGGTCACAGAACCAGGGAAGTCTTCCCCACAAGTAGACATTTGAGCCAAGTCCTAAAGCATGTGTGTAGGTCTAACTTCCAGTTTGCTTTGCCTGCCCAGATGTTTATCATGTACACCTTCCAATATTCCATGGAAAGTGCCAGAAAACCAGAGACTTCTTAAACTTTGGCCAATAGTTTCCAGAAGATAAACTAAAAAACCAAACAATTTTTCATAATGCAATTTTGAGTAGCAATTCTACTTTTGCTTACAAACCTTGAAGTCTATAAATTACCAACAAATCAACATATCTTTGAAGCTGAAAACAAACTACTCCAAGAAAATAAAAGTTTGGAAGCTATAAAGCTATAAAATTTTATGTTTCATTATATAACTAGAATGTGAATAACTGGACTACACAAATAGCACTGAAGAAAAAAACTGTGACTTACCAATCTATTTTAATATGATGTGCAGAGTAATTTCTGCCCTTCCTTATGACATAGGAGGCTATCCAATAAAACTTTCAATATAGGTTTTTTAGAGAAAGGATTTTGTAATATGATAAGCAACTAAAGTCTGAAAATGCCCACTGCTGAGACCAATGGAATACGAGGGTCATCATAAATTAGCTGTTTGTAGAATCTTCTGCCTAGATCCCTTTATAATTCTGATTGGAAAAATTTGACTAAGTATTGAATATCCTCTTTTGGTGGCTGCAAAGTCAAACATCTCTGTTTTGTGTTCATTAGAGTCATCACATTCTTCCCTGAGGACAAACCATGCAACATGACCCAACAAAGATTCCATTTCTGTACAATCCAAGAACAGTTATCTTAACTCCATACACCCCACATACAAAATTCCCAAGTATTTTGGTTTCTCAAGCTGTCCCCTTTTGCATGTGTTCAAATAGCAGATGGGACTCTAACGGACCTCCTGCCAGCTCCATCCATCTTCAGGGGACTCACAGCAAGCTTTTAGAAGAACTCTTCTGTCTGATTCTATCACTCCACTCTCACACCTCCAAAGCCAAAATGATTGCTATTTAAGATACAATATAAAATATGACTCTTTGGGAGATAAACTACCCCCCAAAGACTGTTTGTTAGCACTTTTTATGAATATAATCATTTTCTCTCTTATAACTTTTTAAAAGAAAATGTCATCATCTAAAAATATTACAAAGTTGCATAAATTGACCTAACTTCAGTCATCAACTCACTTGTCAATATTATTTCATCTGTACCTACCTCTTGTTATTAACTGTGTAAGACAGCTACATGGCTCCAAAATCAAGTCTACAAAACTCGTATCATCAGAGAAGTTTTGCTTTTATTTCTGTCCCTCTACTCTAGTCTCTATTTTCCCCCACAGTTAACCTTGTCTTTTTTAACTTATCATTTAATCCTCCCATTTTTAAAGATAAGCAAACACATTTATATTTTAACTCCATCTTTCTGAGAAAAATAGAATCCTAGTGATTTTCAAGCCATTTTAAACTATTTGGATTGCATGTATTAAGATTGTTAGGGGGCTTTTAGGCCAAAACACAAGCAATGTGATGCTTTTATCTGTATTTTTTTAATTATTTGAATGTCTTCAACTTGTAAGAGCCCAAAGCTGTAATCCAAAGTGGACAGGAGGGTGGTAGATTAAAAGACTGAAAATTTTTAAATGGCAGTAAAAATTTGGAGATTTTAGCCAGGTGTGGTGGTAAATGTCTGTAATCCCAGTACTTGGGAAGCAGAAGTAGAAAGACTGTGAGTTCAAGGCCAGCCTGGACTATGTAACAAGTTCAGGGGTAGCCTGGACTACATAGTGAGTGTCCCAGGATGTCTCCAAAACAGGGAACTTGAAGATTTTAAGATAAAGATTTGTAGTAAAGCTTCCCTAATGTAATTATAGAATCTTCAGAAAGCATTCCTATCTATAGTAGTCTATGAGTAGAATAATTTTATTCATGAAAGCTTGAATTCATATTCTTTCTCGTAGATCGAATTGCACAGAACATCATCAAGTCCCATCTGGAGACATGTCAGTACACCATGGAGGAGCTGCACCAGCTGGCGTGGCAGACCCACACCTATGAGGAAATTAAAGCGTATCAAAGCAAGGTACTCTGAGAGACAGCAGGAAACTTTTCTGTGATTACCCCATTTCTGGCTTCCTCAATCTCAGCACCATTAATGTCTTAGACCCGACCATTTCTTCCTGTAGGAACTATCCTGTGCATTATAGGGTATTTAGCATTATATCTGGTCTTTACCTACTAGATGCCAGTACTTAATTAATACTATCCTCACACAGTTGTGACAACCAAAAATATTTCTAGATGTTGCCAAATCTTCCCCAGGAGGCACAGCATCCTGATTGAAAAGTCACTACCCTATTTGAGTAACCAGAGAGACTGTGTCTTTGCCAGATGATTTTAGGGCATCTCATGCTGGCTTCTAGGTCCAGGAAAGGAGCAAGAGGACTCACTGAGTTATCGTAGCAGTAATAACTTGCAGTCTCAAACTTCACAACAAAGATATGGAACAAAGCATTCTAACTTTTATTCTTGCCCTTCTTAATTTAAAAAAAAAGGACCAAAGCAAAAGGACAATTCACTGTATATTTTTATGAGTACTAGCAGTATGGAGAAGTTTTTATGGGAAAGGGAAACTTCTTTATGTACAGTAGTCACATTACTTGACTTTGGGGGATTGAGATCTTCCATATAAGGTCTACCACTTGATAGAATTTTAATAAAATATATAAACGTGTGTATTAAATGTATGACTTGGACAACATACTGATTTTTCTGTAACAGAACAACTAACCATTACTACTTTCATATAAACATGAAAAGAAAGGCATAGATATTGCTATGAACAATAAAAAGCAGAATTTACACTATGGATTTAAATTTCTCAGTTTGAAGAAAATAACCCAAGTATTAAAATACATTTTGGGAACTCTGTTATTTATGAGAATGAATACATTGATACGGTGCCTTTTCCCTTGGAATTCTTTTTTCTGCAAAAACAATTTCCAAAGCAAGTGTGATGGATCATGCCTGTAATCTCAGCACTCTGGAGGCCAAGATCTCAAGTCTGGTATCAACCCAGACTACTTATCAAGGCTTTGTCTAAAAAAAAAAAAGTCTATTGGATATCCACAAAAATAACATTGCTGAAGACTGTGGATGAAATTACTAATCCTCAATACAGCTGTTTGTTTTTTGTCTGGTGGAATAAGATCTTGAGTTTGTGTAGGTGAGACAGGATTAAAAACAGTAAAGAAAATAACTATTTGCAAAAACAGTGCTCCCATTCATTTAGCCTCAATGGGTTGACAATAGTAGTGTGCTGAGGTTCAAACAGGTCAAAACAAAGGTTAAAAAGAAAACATTGCCCTCCTCTCCTAAAAGGAGCTCCTCACTTTGGGCCCCAAATGACAGGTGAGCACCATTAGGTACCCTGACTGTTCCCCTGACTCTCTGGTGGCGTTCTGACTCCGTTCACATGCTGTCTTCTCTCCTGAAGTCCAGGGAAGTGCTGTGGCAGCAGTGCGCTATCCAGATCACTCACGCCATCCAGTATGTAGTGGAGTTTGCCAAGCGGATCACGGGCTTCATGGAGCTCTGTCAGAATGATCAGATTCTACTTCTGAAGTCAGGTGAGCAAGGGGGGCTCACAGGGGCCTGCTTTAAACCAGGATGTGTTCCACCCTTAGCTCTGTGACAGTTCTAGAAAATCCTCTTTCCAATAGGTAGCTAGATGGGTTTTTACCACCCACATTGTCAGCTAACTCCCAAAGGAAACTCTCAGTAATAAAAATGCCCTGTTACTCATTCAGCTCCCCCTTTGAAGTCAAATACAATTTTGCTTATTGAAAGTGGAGCTATTAATTGTGAAAGCTAAGATACCCAGCTTGACAGACAGTGCAAGTAATTAGTGTGTCAAGGTGGCTGAATTGCTGAGCTGGTGCTAAAACCTGCTCCTTGCCTTCTGTGAGGAGGGGAAAATGCAGGCTGGCTGAGCTGTGCTCTGTGGTCATTTCCAATCATTTTAATGAGGATAGCCTGCAGCCAGGATACACCAGAAGAAACTTCCACCATGCTGGAATCCTCCCTCCCCTTCTCTCATGCATTCTCTAACACACAAGCCGTCGCTTAAGAAGTAACTCAATAAACTCTGCATATGACTGTCTTTGCAGATGCTCTCGCCTAACAGGGAGAAAACTCATCATGTCTTTCTTTGCTCCGCTTGAAAATGGAAAATAAGAATATTATTTGAGTTAATCTCCATGCCTTTGTCCACAGTAATAATAACATCATTTTTACATGTAATAATATGCATACATAGTTTTATGTTTACCCATGACATCTCATTTAATCTCATGTTACCAGGGTTGTCACCATCTTAAAGCAAAGGAGGCAGGATTCAGAGAAGGCTGTGTTCAATACCACAAAGATATGTGGCAAAGCTGGTATTTGAACATGGGCTAAATATAATTGTTATTCTAAGATATTGTTGACTCAAGCACCAATTTGAATTTTTTTTTCCTAACTAGCCACATTAAAACTTAGTTAAAATAACAATAATCATTTATTTTGCTCTCAAAGCTCCAGCTGTGCAGGGGCTCAGTAAGGGTGGCTTATGTCTAAACTCCAAGTGTTCTTGTGATGTTCACCCAGGTGACTCCCGTGGGAGCAGGGGATCTACTTTAAAATTGGCTCATTCACATGGTTGGCAAGCTGTGCTGGTTGACAGCCTGGAGTTCAGCCGAGACTCTGGTCTGGGGGCCTCAGTTGCTTTCCATATGAGTCCCTGGGCTAACTGCTTGGACTTCCTAACAGCATAGTTGTGGGTTCCAAAACCTACCATTGCAAGAGAACAGGCAGAAGCACGTTGGGTTTTCTGTCTTATAATCAGAAGTCACATTGTGTTATTTACACTGTACTCTATCAGTCAAGACAGTCATGAAGGCCTACTTGGGCATGACTTCTTCATGGAAGTGGGGTACAATTTAGAAAAGCATGGGATGGCTGTTTTTTGTGATTCTCTTTGAAAAATAACTTGCCCCACTTGATGTGATCTTAAACCAGACTCTCCAGATGGCAGTTTCCTCAACTGTTAAACTAGAAACAATGAATTCTGAACTTGGAATTGCATCAGGAGCAGCAAAGGAACTTATTGACAGTTTAGAGATGCAGCCACATTACAAACCATAGACTTCAAATCTCCCTAAAAGCAGAGTGAGAGTAAGGGGTGGGGGCGGGGGTGACCCAATTCATTGCATTTCTAGCCAAGACTCAGATATCGCCAACCCATGGACTAACATTTGGGAGCCACTAAAATATACAATTGTTAACTTCTCTGCCTACTGTAAAAATGTTGCCTCTAGTATACAAGGCAAGGTATATAACCTCTTTAAGCCTCCTGTATTTCATTCATGAAAAAGGGCTAATAAAACTCACCTAAATGGTTACTGCAAGGAATGGATGTGCTAATGAATATAAAGGAAGGTGTTTTCCATAGTGTAGATACTCAATCAGTGCTCTCTATTCCCGCTGGTGTCAGAAAAGCATTGTTTCAATTAATCTTTGCAAACTCTTTCCTATGAATAAGCCTGTGTGCTAGAGAAAGAGAAATCAGCAGAGGAAACAAAAACACAGACATAAATTACAATGGTGGCATAAGATTAGCCAAATCACTAATAGGATGCACCCTGCAAACTTAGGGCTTTGGAGTCTGTCACTGTCCACTCATTTCTCCAAATTATAGCGCATTCGTTCCTCGGGGTGTAAATAAATGTTCATAGGGAGGAAAGGGCAGTAAATTAATTCACTTTATAAATATCAAGTGCCTACAATGTAACAAAGACTTTTTTGGGCCCAGAGATGCAAATGTTCCTGCCCTCACTGGGTCTGACAGTGAACTCAAAAACAAAAACAAACACAAAAAAGCTAAGTCCATCAATGTTAATCATCCTACTTCAGATCAGGACTTCTCAGGACCTTTGATCTGAAAATGATTATTATAACTCTCTGGTCTGAGATAATTTAGTATTTTGCCAAAATCTATTTGATGAAGAAACCTGCATTTCAAAAGCATCAGATGCAAAGGATGCTCCCAAGGAACCCACCAACAAAATCTCTATTTAAAAGTCATCCCGTGTTGAAATATGCATGGACTATGGGAGAAACTCCACATGGTGGGTGATACAAAGATTAAGTTTTTCCAAAAGCAAACCTTCTAGGAAAGTTAATGGACTGCCCTCACCTGCTACAAAACTCCTGTCTAAGCCATTTATCTGTAACTGTGAATTAAAGAATCAAAAGTAACTTTAACGTTAGTCAAAACTTTAGAAAAATCCCCTTCTAAAAACGTAATGACACCACGGAGTGCCCTCTATTTTGGCCACCTTTAAAGTGTATTTTTTTCCTTAATTCTTTATGTAAGTATCAAGAGAGCTTTATTTCTAAAATAGTTACTTTAGGAGAAGGACTCTTGAGGGGTTTCTGTGTGTGTGTGTGTGTGTGTGTGTGTGTGTGTGTGTGTTTAAGTTCTTGAAACTCTCTTGACTTACATGCTCTAATGGCTACTTTATTATTGGATAAGTATACATGTCTTTAATTATTTAACTCACAGGTTGTTTGGAAGTGGTTTTAGTGAGAATGTGCCGTGCCTTCAACCCATTAAACAACACTGTTCTGTTTGAAGGAAAATATGGAGGAATGCAAATGTTCAAAGCCTTAGGTAAGTTTCCTCTTGATGACAACACAATTTTATAAGCTAGCATCAACTTCTTCTTTCAGACTGAAATCGGCAAATAAAATGCCTTGATACCTTGATATGAACTAGTACTTCATTATTCAATTGAGTTGGGCCAGGTGAGCCTCTAATGTTTCATCCAATGCTCCTGATCTTAAAATTGCAGCTCCTAATCAGAAAAGTAGGAGAGAACCATGGACCCTATTGAGATTAACCCTATAGAAATAAGCAAGTACCAATAATAAAAGAGCAAGGTGCCTTATAGGTCATTCTTTATACAATTGTTAGCTTTTCTTTTCTGCTTTTGTTTTTTGATTTTTTGAGACGGGGTCTCTCTATGTAGCCCAGTCTGGCTTCAAACTCATGATTCTACTGTCTCAGCATCCCAAATGCTGGGATTACAGGAGTTTGCCACTATGCCCAACCAGTTTTTCTTTTAACTTCTGGTTTACTGCATTACAAAATATATTATTACAGTCTATGGGGAGTGACCTCTAAGTTTCCTATGTAAATTCATTGATTTTAATTAGTTAAACTAATTAATTTTGAAAAAGTATTCTCTCATTTGTTTCTCACCCACAGCAGTGATTTTCTGTGAATTCATGAAGCTCTGGGGACATGGAGTTGGTGCTGACCTGGCCAGAATGACCCCAGACCATTCTGTGGGAGGCACTAGCAGAGGCAGTCTTTTCTGGGAAGTGTGGGGCATCACCCCCTCCCATCATCAGTGCACAGCATGGATAGAACACTAGACACAGGCTGGTGCTAGGAAAGGTCTTAACAACTGATAATGATATTTGTTCCATATCCTGCCCATGGACACCAAAGAAGCCACTGCCCTTTCACCTCTTGTGCTGTTAGCTGATATGGCAGCCAACGGCAAGCCCATCGGGGCTGGCAGGGTTTCCTTCTGCAGCTGATACACATCCATGTCCTCAGGGCTAGATTTTCAAGAAAGGAGGAAAAGCCTTGGCAAGCAACTTCAGTAAATTTCCAGCTTCATCAAATAAACATTTACCAGAGATCCATGTAGAGGTACATTATTTTGCCCAAATTCACAATGGCTAAACAACTGTCCTATAAACCATTCATTAGAAGATAGAAATAAGTCAACTCTAGCTCCTCAATTAGATTTTCAGGGAAATTACCAAACTGAAAGACAGTTTCTCTCCATTCTATAAGGAGTTTCTTATACCTAAGTTTGGAGCTTCAGAATACCCTAGGTTCAAGTGCCACTAATACTGACAGTCCTTAACCCCTAAATGAAAGTAATGTTTTAGGGTTTTTATGAATTCTGTCTCTATTCTGTGGATCCTTGAATCACTTATTTACAATCCTTTAGCTGAAAATAATTTCAGATTTATAGGATGATATTATCGTATCTATTTGTCCCTCACTGCTAATCTTAATTTCAGTTACCTGACCAACGTGCTGCCCAATTTTCTCATTCTGGAATTGGTATAAATCATTTTTTATGACCAAGACCTTAGAAATGCCTTTTCTAGATGTTTAGCATGCAAGTCCGGAAAACTTCTTGATCATGAGACTTTTCTTGCTCTTGCACCATTCCAGGTTCAAGTTTTTCCATTTAATTTTTCTTCTTCCTTTCTAGGTTCTGATGACCTAGTGAATGAAGCATTTGACTTTGCAAAGAATTTGTGTTCCTTGCAGCTGACTGAGGAGGAGATTGCTTTGTTCTCATCTGCTGTTCTGATATCTCCAGGTAGGGAGGCCGCAGGTCTCATACCTTCTTTTTTAAACCTGCTCTACTATCTTTAACATCAATTACACCTACTCATGCCAAAGTGTTCAGGAAAAACATGAAAAGAAATATATTTTCTCTAGAAACCTTTTTGATATTTTTGGACAATGCAAAGGGAAGTAGCCTCAAGCTTATTAAAATGATCAGTTTTGCCCCAAAGCAAGAATGGGGCATGTGGCAGGGATCACTCCAGATACAGATAAGCAGATGAAGACAGATATTCTCCTCAGTTAATATCTAAGTTCCCTTTTGACTAAGTATAAAGAACATAGAAAAAAAACAGTAGTGTGAAAGTTGTAGAAATGTACCTAAGATCTAGATAAGTAAAAGGTGCACTGTCCCCTCTTTAATTACTCTTTTGTGTAGCTTTTCTACCGAAATTACTATTGGAATGTTCGCTTCAGGAATGTGGAGCCTCTTTTCTTAGCAATTTTAGGAGCTTCCAAAGAAGGTAAGGACAGCTAAAGGGGAAATATCTCTTATGCAAGCCTCCCGGTAGAAAAGGAAGGAGTTCCAATATGGGCACAAATATTCTAGAACCAGCTCTGAAATCATTTATCTGTGTGACCTTAAACACTTGACCTCTCAGCGTCACAGTTTCCTCATCTACAAAACAAAGCAATTGGGCTCCAAAACAGCAAACACCTCCTCTAGCTCTAAAATGCAATAAAATGCCAAAAAGTTTTCAAAAAAGAACTGTAGTGATTGATACAAATATGCCAGTTTATAATGTAATAAGAATATAATAAGATATGTCATGAGAATATATTAGAAAACATATGATAATAAATACATGCTCCCTCTTCAACCAGAATGAGAATTCTGTCAATCACTCAGCTGTCTGTTTGGCTAGATTTGGGTCCAAGGCATAGCAGCATCATTGGCAGCTCTTTATTGAAAGAAGAATGCCATTCCTGCCTAATTTTTAAGGTCAAGAGATCCATTCTTTCTGTAATCCATTTATCTCTGAGATACATCTCTTTTCTTATACTCTAATTCATTGAGACTATAAAAAATAATTCTTATGAGTGGTGTAAGATTACATCTTAGATCTTTGACTTATCATTCTAGTTATACCTACCCATGGTACCAACCTCTCTATTTTATTATTAGTAAACTCTATTATTCTTAATATGATTCTTGATAATCTTATCCAGTTTTTTTAAATTTTGCTTCCTTTTTTTATTGATCAGTTTATCAAAATGGACATTAGTTGACACATAGAGTGGTTTCACTAACAATTTCTTTTATGGCTCTGTCTAAAATCACACTGTTTCTCTGGGCCTTTGTGGGGTGGGAGGGGTGTGGTGTGTGTGTGTGTGTGTGTATACACATACCTTTGAAAGTTTCCCAGGCTTGAAAGTCTGGGAAAGTTAGATGGAAGAAGTTGCAAAGCATACTTCTTTCTGGTGGTCAGCACATACCAAGTAGTTCCTTCCCATTTTCTCATTGCATTTGATTGTTTCTATTGAGTATTGTTCAATAAAAGACTGAACCTAAGCCCATGGGTCTAGAGATGAGGAAGTGGTTTCCTCTGGTTCTTGCTTGCTCAAAGGAAGAGCCTTACAAAGAATCACTCTCCTCTTTGGACATATTTGTGGAAGTCAGTAAACTCCTAGTAGCAAAAATTGAAAGCATGATATATCATACTTAAATGAGCTGTGGAAATGATTGCCCCAGACAGAAAACTAGCCTGGTTTTCATTAGTCAGAAATCATCTGAACTGCTTCGGCTGTTTCTCAAAAGAATGGGCCATCCTCAAATTTTACAGAGTTTGGAAGCATGAGATTTGGTTTACTCTGCCCAGTGGGGAATCCTCCACTCATGCTTCACAACTCCAAATACTCTGTTTGCTACCCTGGCTTAGTGTCATGCTCAAAAGGAGAGTGGAGACAGATTTGCAGTCCATGTCCACATGCCAGACCTCACTCATACTCAGGTTCCTGACTTGATAGGCACTGTCTATTCACCTTCAAATAGCTTAGAAAAGGGACAGGGAGGGAAACTTAATTTATTCTGATTAACAATTGTCACTGAAGGCTTTTGTGCTCACTTACGTAAGGGTTTGCTTAACTCTTGGCTAGGCTAGCCCTTGCCCTGTCTAGGATTACAGAATCGAGTTTCTCACCTGACCTGAACTATGTTCGGGAGAATAGTGCACAAGTTCTTTTCCATGAGTATTTGTTCAGCATTTGCAAACTCTAAGTGTCACTTCATTGAAGGGCCAAACTAAGGCATGGATTCTGGACTGCATTTTGTCACCATAGTGTATAAAGGAAGGAAGGAATAGGGAGTAAAGGAAGGAGAAAAGGACAGAAGTCAGTGGCGTGGGGAGGGAGAGAGGAAGGGCAAAAAGAAGAAATTATCCCACTCACCATTTAAAAAGTCAGTGTATAAAAATAAGACTTGGAAATAAAATTTTTTAAATTGGCTTACATTTATACTATTCATATTAAAAGAGCTTCACCTTTATGTCTGATGAGAAAAACAAGGTGGTCATGAATACCAATGCTATCCCTCTATATAGACTTTTTCACTGCTATAATTTTTCTTCACAAATTACGAATTACTACTTAGAAAGAAAATCTAAGCATCTGTCCAGAAAAAGGAAAGATGAAACTGTCACAGGCACTACGAAACGAAGGAGATTTTTGAACAATTGTATCGTTTCCTCTAAACAGATTCTGGCATCATTATATTATTGCTTATAAAATATTTATGTGTTATATAGATAAGTCCGTGTCTCCAGAAGCAATTTAGAACCAAGTAATTAGAATAGGTCTGAAACTCAGCACTTACATATGTACGTGAAATAAAACAAAGCTTGTGTTCCCTCTCCTTCTTATCCATTTTTTTTTCCTTTATTAGACCGAGCCTGGCTGATAGAACCAAGGAAGGTCCAAAAGCTTCAGGAAAAAATTTATTTTGCACTTCAACATGTGATTCAGAAGAATCACCTGGATGATGAGACCTTGGCAAAGGTAAGTCCTCAGATCACAGATGCACAATCACTAAGGGAGGGTAGAGTGACCAAAAGTGGCCTTGTTATACAGCAAGGGTAGCTATTCAGAAAGTGGCCAAAGACTGCGTAAATATGGATCTGTGCATTTTTAAAGAGAGACAAGTAAATTACAAAAGATTGTGAGGAGGGTGGCTTTCTTAGAGGTGGGGGCTACTGACAAATCTGAACTCAAGGTACAAGAAAATAAATCAAAGAACTGCAGGTGTTTCATCAGAACAAAAGCACAAAGCAAGGAAGCACATCTTCAAAATCATATGTGAGGAAAAAGACTTTGTCCCAGGGCATGAGTCAGGTCTGCACGAAAGTTAAGAGCAATTCGATTTTTCATCAAAATCAAGAAGGAGTATCAAATGCTTAGACTTGCTGATCAGAGGGGTGAACAGTGTGAAGTAGTGACCTTCCTCTCTCTAGCCATATTCTAGTACCTTCTGCATGGTCACCTCTCAGGTATGTTGAACTGAATTTCTTCATGCAAGACTTGCTCTGTGGCTCTTTCAACATGGTGAAGTATGCCAGGGGCAAAACAAATGCAACATGACATCAATTTCTTGATTTAGCTTAATTAAGGATGATGATCTTTAAGAAGAGTAATGAGAAAGTTTGTTTACCAAAGTAAAATGACCATAAAAGAAAGAAACAATTGTCAATAATTAAGATTCAGCATTATTTTAAACCTTAAAGTACCTCTAATTTCTTAAGAACCAGAATTCTTAGAGGAAAAACATTATTTTAAATTTTAAAGTATCTCTGATTTCTTAAGAAACTGATTGCTTTTGAGGATAAGAAACTGAGAAATTGAACTTATTCTTAGTTAAAGATAATAGGAATCCTACTTTCTATATTTTTATCATTAAACCTTCCCACTCTGCTCTTGAAGTTCTTTATTTAAAAAGTGGGGGGAGGGTAAGAACTCTATTTGGAGACATCATCAGATTTTACTTTGCACATACAGAGAACTGCTATGAAAAAAAATGTGCTGATTCATTACGGTAACATTTTGTTAAAATTAATGCATCACTAGGAAGGACATTTCCACATTCACTGTTCAGCTATGGTTCTCTTTGACGTAATTTTTTACCAGCTCTCTGTACCTCAGTTTTCTCCCAGTCAAGAGCAAAACTTGAGTTTACTTTCAGATTCACTGGCCAGAAAAGACTGTAATATGAATATGTTCATGCCGCCCTACAGTTGTTTGCTAGCATATATGAATAAATGTATCTGGCTAATTAATGTAGAAGGGTAACTTTTGCATTGGGGATTTCCCAAAGACTTTGGTCTGGATTTTCATTTATCTAAGTTCTGAACTGATTGGATTCAGATAAGTGACTCCTTTTATCTGATTTATTATCAAGTGCTGGGCACGAGGGGATTAATCTCTCCAGTTCCTGACTGCTCTAATGTTTTGAGAACAAATACACTGTGTCAGCTTTCTGTCACTGTGACAGGACACCTGACGTAAACAACTTTTAAGGAGGAAAGGTTTATTTTGGTTCATGGTTCCAAAGGTTTCAGTCTATAATCAGTTGACTCCATTGTTTTGGGGTCTGTGGTCAGGCAGAAAATCATGGCTCGGACCACATAGTGGAACAAAGCTACTCACCTCATAGCTGCTGGGAAACAAAGAAAGGACAGGAAAAAGCAGGGGTTCCAATATCTCCTTAAATGGCATGCCCACAGTAGCCTAACTTCCTTTCATAATGCTCCACCTCATAAAGGGTCCATGTGCCTTTGGGAAGCATCCAAGGTTCAAACCATAAAAGACACCCTCTCAAAGAACTTCCAAAAGGAACAGTTTTATTTAAATCCAAGAGATATTATCCCCCCTCCCCAACAACAGATTTTTCCTGTCTTTTCAGAAATGTTCCTATACCTTCATAGTCTTGAATCTCTCCTATCTCCATAATATATCTTAGACAGTGATGACCATTCTTAATATTTGGTATACATAGAACCCTTGGGAAATCTGAGGAACATTATAAAACCCTATCTCTAAGAAAAGGCACACTTACCCAAACTATTGTATTCAAGTCCAGAGGCTCAGGGTAAATCTTCAGCAGATGGGGGAGAGGGAGTTATATCTGCTTTCTGTGTAAAGTGCAAAAAAGTTTTATACCACTAACCAGTTTAGCCCTGAACAGGTATAACAGACATCATATAACAGAAAAAAGCACAGCGCTCATACAGAGACATTGAACTTCATCCTGTAACTACAGTTTCCAACATATCTTCTATACACCCACTGCGATGCCTTATACATTTGACAAACTTAAACCTAGAAAGTTTTGAAAATCCAGGTATACTGTGTCTGCTAACTAGAAAGTATCAGTCCCTGTACATTACTCACTTGGTTTTTTTTTTTAAATTTAGGGGTATTTGGGATTAGAAAAAAACATATTAAAGAATCTACCTTCCTTATCAGCATAGTAAAAATGTATACCATACATAACTGAAAACTCTGGACATATGATTTAAACTCTTTGTGCCTCAGTTTCCCTGTTTGTACAAAATGACTAAAATTAACACCACATTACTAAATTTTATGGGTAAAATATAAGAAAGATGCTCAGTTCATAATAAGGAACATAAATGTTATTGCATTAATGGAGTAGTTGTTGGTGTTGACAGAAGAAATTTTATTTTAGTAGGGAAATGTTTATCTAAAAGATGATATAATTGAGCTAATCACTGAAGGATGGAAACTTTTCAAAAAATGGGAGTTGGGAAGCTAGACAAGTACAGAATGGCATTGTACATGATGGGGGCGACAGTAAGGAGGTAGGAAAGTAGAAGGTATATTCAGACTATAAATAATAGTTTTGGCTGGATCCTGGATTTGAGAAGCCAGGAAATGAGATAATACTGGTCACTTCCACTAAAGCTTATAAAAAAAATAAATATACATATATATTTTTAAGCCCCATATGACTAGAGGAGGCAGCCCATCTGTTCTCTGGGCTTTACTTTTCTTGTCTGGGAAATGAGTAGGCTGGACTGCATGGTCTTCAAGGTCCCTTCAGTAGAACATTCTTTGATGTCCAAAAGAAAACACAAAGATGCCTCCTGACATCTTCTTTTGCCCTCCACAGCTCTGTCCTGTGTGATTATTTTAAGGACTCTTTAAATGTGTTACTGTTATACTAAGTAAAGAAAAAGACTTCTTTCACCTCATCTTAGAGATTGAAAGTAGTAGTCCTCTGTGCACTATGGTCATGTAGTTTGGGATGATCTTCCAGCCACAAAGCCAGAAAGGTTACAGTGTCAATAAAGCCTGTGTCCAGAGGTCAGCATCTCTGTGCTCCACTTTTTTGTTCATTGAGCACTGGCATGACTCATTTTGATGGGTTTTCTTCCTAGGTAAGAACTACAGGGATTCAGAACTCATGGTGCTCTTTTTTCACACAGCTGAAAGCAGCAGCAATGCTGCTGAGGCAAGGCAAAGGATGGGAGATCGATGATGAATTTTTGGGCCGTGAAGACTATCATTGCTATAGCCCTCTGGCCTGGGGCATTGTTCATTGCAAGCCACTAACCCTGCCTTTCTTGTTTCCCTGACCAGAGAAGAGCAGAGGAAGGAGGAGCTGGTCTAGCTATGGCCAGGCTGTGGCAATGTACTCACAACCAAGGCACAGCTTGGTTCTGAATCTCTTGTTTTTAGGAGCATATTCCCAGCTCTTTCCCTAATGCAGCCTCTAGGTCAGGCCCATAGCTGGAGGTCTGTTTGACCTTCTCCAGTTCAGCCTGCCTTTTTGTGTCTCCTGCATAATTAGGGTCATGAAATATTGTAAGGTTAGTGTATTTATTTTTCCAAACACTCTTACGAATACATAGAACTCCTTGAGTTTTGTTCTTGCCCAATACTATAATGAGAAGCAAATTCTATAGCAATACCTACATCCAAGGGGAAGGCATGGATAACTGGCATATCTCAAACTCCAGAACCCACCCACTCAGCTCTCCATCCATATATAAGTCTAGAAAGAATATGGTTCTTGTTTTCTTTTGTTTTTATTTTTGTTTGAGATGGGGGCTCACTATGCAGCCCAGGCCAGCCTCAAACTCACAATTCTTCTGCCAGGGCTGTGGTTTTTATTTTACCAAAACTGTAACTCTTCAGTGAGTCCACCCTTTCCATTCAATTGTCAAAACCCGTCCAAATACTTGTGTCTTGCCATGTGCTGACTGTGTCATCTTTCCAGAAGTCATGGGCCACACCACACTTTGAGTGGACTTAGACTCACAATTGTATGCTGATAAATCCTTTCTAATTCTTCTAGGATACGGAAAAGGCTGTAGAAGTTTTGCCAAAGTTCAGAATTTCACTCTTCTCTTTCTTCCTATTCCTGGCTGATGAGGAAGTTACTATTTCCCTTTCCCAGTTAGTCTTCCTAAGCTCTTAATGTCCATGAAAATGTCTCAATGTCCATTCATCCACAAGGTGTTGGTCTAAGGTTATGTAATATTCATGAAAATGTAGTGTGGATCTAAAATTAGCTAATGGTCAGACCCCATGGTGACAAATCCATTCCTTTGAGGTTCAACTAGGTCTCAGATCTTTTACTTGGTTCACTGCTATTGCCAAACAGTCCTCAGAAGATATGGCTCCTCCTGTCACAGCATAGCCCCTGAGTAAACACTAGGTGTTTCTCCTGGCTTCTCACAGCACCACCCAGAAAGAGCTTGACTCTTCCAAAAAGATATAACACATACATGCTATGACATAGAGAGATCAACCTGAATCCAAATAATCAGGTTTAAAAGGTCCGGCTTGACAGCACAACACACACCACTTTCCAGTGAGGCTTCAGGAAAATGAGCAAGGAGCCCTACCCTTCATTTCTTGCCTTTTGACCCACTTGGCCAGAGACAACACTACCTGGAACACTTACTGCACAAGATCTTCTTCCTGGATCTCTATGTATGCCAATTTCAAAGACTTAATGTAAAAACTAAGAAATATAA